CCATGATGATGCCCCGTATTTTTATTTTTACATTTACAATACTGTAGCTGTTTTTGTGCTTAATGTAATATTTCAGAAGCACCCCTATTGTCATCTTTGGAAACTAAATGTTATTCTTGTGAACATTATCTCCACAATAACAAAGATTTTTGGTTTTCTCCAATAAATTCTTGTCCAAAATCAATTACATGAATAAGAAGATTGTCTTGTTAAAAGACATCACAAAAGAGTATGCAGAGTAATGTCAACTAATGGTAAATATTAATGATTGTGATTATGCCTAAATTTTATCCAGCATCTGGACAGCGAGGCAGGAAAAGGAAGGCAGAGTGTGAAGTTGAAGCCCATCCTGATTCAGACAGATCAACATGTGATGACGGTGGTACCTGGGAATGTAAAGTGTCAGAGGACACACAAGGTACGTTAGTGAGACTGGGAAACACTGTCAGCACCAAGGACAGGGAAACATGTACATAGGCCTTAGCTATGAAAACCTGAACTGCAAGTTTTAAGCCAAGGAACATGACTATGTATATGTAACTATGATGAGGAAACTATTGTTTGTTTTAGTTCCTACAATGTCATGTATTACATCATAAAACTATTAAAAGATAAGCTGAGAACAGGTTTGCTTATGATTTATCAACTCTATACCTGACCTTGACCGTACACGTAACTCTAACATTATATAAGCCCCAATGCTGAAAAGAGTGTTATGTGTAATTCATGCATCACTATCTACAAGCATGTCAATAGTTTCATTTTTTTTCCTTTTTGTAGCAAAGAAGATTAGACTGTGCCTGAGCCGTCATCCACAGTGTTTCAGCAGTGAAGACTCGTCCAGTCACCGAGGCCAGGAGTCACCTGGAACAGTTTCTGATTCCTCAAACGACTGCCTCTCCACTACAGCTACTACAGAGTACAGCCACAGCACTGACACAAGAATAAAGTCTGCCAATTTTGGTGAGATAGACAAACAAACTACTTCAGAATCTGTTCTGTGACTCTGCTGAAATAAGACAACAGTGATAAATGTCTCATAAGTTTCGAGGTAATGAGCACTGTAAAATTATAGCATACATTTGCATGTACATGTACATGTATATTGTGCATTCTGTACCTGAGGTTACAGCCTGACCATGTATATCATACCGCAATAACGTTTGATAACGGCCGTCGGGCGATCCGAGCCGCGGTCGTTCGGGCGATACGGAATACATCGTGTTGTATTCTATATGGATCAGATCAGCCGATGGACAGAGGGACATTTCAATGTGAAATGAGCCCAAATACAGTGTCACTAAACCTGACAAATACATGTATTGAAGGACACCTTAAAGTTTATCTTTTTAGTGGATCCTTGATAACATGTTGAATACGTTGTATTCGTGAACTTACAATGTTTTTGTAAGGAGGAAGTTCAACATTATTTGAATCAATTCCCAGACTCCAGCCATGGCACAGAAGATATTGTCCCGAGGAAAAAACTTCCTCCGGACGAGGCCCCATCTTGTAGCCACTTATACACAGAAGAGAGGAGAATCCATGAGCCTAAACTGGAGATGTACCAACCACCACTTACACCTGTGGAGACTCCCCCTCTCATGTACACAGCTGTGTGTGGCTCTCACCAAGATGGTAAGTTAATCTGCACCCATCCTATGTGTAACTTGCCATTCAAGTACACTGTCAACACACACACACGCACATACACGAACATACACATGCACACAAACACACACACACACATGCAAATGCACGCTAGACACTATGAAATTATCAGGATAAGATTTGCCGTTGTGTTTGCCTTGGATAAGAAGTGATGCTGCTCGAAATATGGCTAACAACACTACAGGTGAAATGTACCATTCCGATAATCTTATGACTGTGAATTGTTTTGCATTCTTTCAGGAGCATGTGTCTGTCATGAACAAGAGCAGTTGTACCCAACACCAGAGGATGCCTGGGCGTGGCTCCACTGTGTGGATGAGTTCTTCCAGAAAGACTCAACAGCAGCCATGGCCATAAGAACAGCTTGGAGTGCCAACCAGCTAGTTAAACACATCATCAGGGACAGATACTTCCATCCCTACCTGTGTCGTTACTGGCAGGAGAAGGCTCTGTTCCCTGATTCCTTCTCTGATTTCATGGACTTCTTGGTTTCTACCTCGGCTAAAGACTTCTGTGTAAAAAATGGTGTCAACTTGCCAGATGTCAGTTTTAGGAGCAAATGTCTGCATTTGGGTAAAATTGCCTTTATCCACCAAACAGCGTATGGTTCCAAATGTCAGCTAGCTGCAGAGGAAGACCTGCCTGCATTCAGTTTTGGTTGGCTACAGAGATGTCAAAATAGTCCCACAGTAAGATCTCCTGGTCATGGCCAGCCATGCAAGTATGTCCATGATAGCATAAGGCAGTACTTAATGGCTTGGTGGATATCCTGTGTAATTAGTGAACCTTCCTTGCACTTGAAAATGAGTGAGGGTCTGTCATCATTCTACGAAGTAGCATGTAGTCTACCTGTTACTTGTTACTGCCTTGCAAATTTTCTTGGAAAGTTACCAGAACCAAAGGAAAAGGTTTTTTCCTTGGTAGGTCCACTCCTGCAAGCCTGGATTGAAAGGATGACAGATTTTCAGCGCTTCTTACTCACAACCATCATAGTCGAGTCAAAACAGAGTGAATTACTGACTGGGGTTTTGAGTTGTCTTTTTCCAAATGGCCAAGTTGACCTGACTTCCCTCCCTGAACTTTCCTATCACAATCTTCACACTCTAAAGATGGTTGTGGAACAAACTGGCATCATTCAGTCCCTCAAACTGCCAGGTAATCTGACACTAGATATGATGATGGACCCATACCCATTTAACAGTGATGAGCCTGTAGATCTCCACAGTGAAAGAACAAGATGCATACCATACGTGTCTCTTATTCAGTGTTTCAGAATCAAAGAAAGAAAACAAAATCCTACATGTGATTTCTCTGACATCAACATTGTGTACATCAGATGTAATGGTGATAACCCTATGGCAGTCAGACATCTTGTCCAGTTTCTTCCTGATTTGAAAACATTGGAATTGAGGCCTCAGACCAAGTTTGACCTCAGAACACTAAGTTACATTGTCCCTGCTCTTGTATTCGCCCCACACTTGTCATCTGTCATATTTGGAAAGTGAACATTCTAAATGAAGTTGTATATAGATGTTTAGGTGTGCTGAATGAAAGGACCAAGCTATTGATGTGTCCTAGACCATATAGACAGACCATTTGCCATTTGACTGGAATTATTCGAGAACATTTGCTTACTACAGTTTTTCCTGGTCTTTTTTATTTATTTATTTTATTTCACACAAAAAAAATATTGGTGAAGTAAATTAAATTAAAAACACTGTGCAGGAGAGGAAGAAGCCTTAAAGGCTTGTATAAGTCCTTCTCCTCAAACATAAAACAATCACACTTAAACTGATTAACTGAAATTCTAATAAATGAAAATCAAGGCGACTGAAGAGAAAATATCAACAAATCATAAGTAACAAATCAACAAATCGTAAGTAACCATTATACACTTAAAAACGAAATTATAGCAAAATGAACTTATGAAGAAGCTAAATAACACTTGAATAAATCAAACCAAGAAGTAAAGCAGCTACATATAACACATCAGCTACAATGTCTTAATTTTATTACTGCCTGAACTCAGTGACGATCCCTTTGCTGCATTGGTATGCAGTTGGCAATGCGTCTGCTAGTATGCACATAACGTTTTTTAACACCGTAACAGTAGTTAGATGTAATATTTCACAAAACACCCCTATCTCATGGACTTGTGGAACAGGTAATTAATCTTGTTATTTATCAGGTAATTAATCTTGGGTGGATTCTGAGTTTTCTCCAAGCAGATGTTATGTGTTAAGATGAGACTTTCATACTTTGAACAACTTGTTTTTCTCTATTTCTTTGTCTTTGCACCTAGTACCTATAAAGTAAGATCCTTTTGAATTTGATGGATTTTTCTCAAATTTGGCATGTTTAACTTAAAGCTTGTATCAAGTACCTTAGCCACACCGCAAACACCATTATAATTATAACTTTGCACAGGATTGTGTCTTACGGACTCTTGTTATGTATGCGATTGATTGTATCAAACTATACTATATGTTTTTTACTTACTTTTCAATATATTTATACTTTTGTGTTGTATTTACAATTCACAATTTTCTTATGTACTCTTAGTAATTAGTTAAGTTTGATAACTGGAAAAGCTTCCCGTATTGTCTCTAAGATGACTAAAATGTACATAAAGACTTTAGTGAATAGAATTTGTGTATTCATGTATACAATGTACATGTGCATGTATGTCAGTACTTGTGGCACATCATTGTATCATGTATGCCTTCACTGCCATGAGTGCTGATAACATGTATCTCCTTTCTCAAATGTTGACGTACAAGTATTATATTTTTGATCACTGATTTTTTTTACTAATAAAGATAGTAAATGTAATGTTTACCAAGGAGGAAAGAAATCAGTTTTCTTAATCGTGGAACACAATTGTTAGATAGTGACAATATAATCAAGTTGCAATGAGATAACATTATATGTACATACTATTGTTTCGTGTATGGAAAACATACTCTAACATTTTTAAGTTACACTGGTTTATTCATTGAGAAAGTGTGTTCAACACCATTATTAGGCTGGTATTGCTATGTCTTTTATTTTCATATTTTGCTTGTTTGAAGTAACTTTTACACCAGTATACTCAATGAATAGACATGTAGATATGTAGAAACAGTTGTATATGCATGTACATCACTGTACACAATGTAAATTTATCGGAGCATCTACATGTATTTGTACATCCTTTGATGCCATTGATGTTCCCCGAAAGCAGGAGACATAATTCCAAAAATAGTTTCATCAGGTTGGTAAAGTATAGGATATAGGGGTTTTCTTCCACATGTGTAGGAGACATAATTTATTCATATTACAATACAAACTGGTTGCTAGCATTTAGCCTGTTGAACAGAGCTACTTCAATGGAAGTAAACACCGCCATCCCATCCTTTGGACCGCAGTTGTGTCAGGTTACTTGTACCTTTGTGCATCTGTGATAAAAACATGAAATATTGACCAGGGCACGTACATATCTGATGGACATTATATTCTGAATAATAGTTGCTGTTGTCCACTTGTGTTCTCTTACCCATTTGAGCAACGAAGCGGCCCACATCTAGAGTTTTGTTGTTGATATAAAAAGCTCTTACTTCTTCGCACGCAAGTGTAGTCTGTATCAAAGCTACGTTGTATTCGAGAATTATTTTGTGTGAAAATACTTTTCGTGTGCCAGTGCTCACTGCGTTGATCACATATAGTTGTGCATTTTATGTCTCTCATAGTTACTATCGTGTAGGTGAAGTATTAGCATAGGCAGTACGTACGGTGGAATGATGCTGGTTTTGCTAGCAGCTAGCCTGTGTCTGCTGGCGGACGGAGCCATGTATGACTGGACGTACAACAAGCCGGGCCCTGAGGCCACGGACGCCCGGCTGGACGGACACCTCGTCCGGCGGTTTGACTACGCGCACAGCGTCCTGGCGTGCGCACGGGCCTGTCTACAGCTGCAGACGTGCAGGTGAGCCGGTCTCTCTCTCTCTCTCTCTCTCTCTGCCTCACTTTCTTTCTCTCTCTCTCTCTGCCTCCCTCCCTCTCTCTCCCCCTCTCTCTCTGCCTCTCTCTCCCTCCCTCCCTCTCTTTATTTCTCTCTCACTCTCCCTCCCTCCCTCTCTCCCTCTCTTATATGTCTTTCTCGATTTTCCATCGGGTGGCACTGAGCTAGATAGCACAAGGGAAGAGAGGGAGGGAAGGGCAACAAGTGACTTGGGTAAAAACAGTTATGAAAAACCCGAAGGAGCTGGGCTTTACTTGGGAGGGAGCATGAAGACAAGCGCCTGACAGAAGAGAGTGGTGAGCATTTGGCCTGCATCGTCGACAGATGAGGGCGGCGGCAACAATGATGATGATGATCATGTCTAGCTTTCACCCGTCACATACTGTGAACATCAACAATCCCTAAAAAAACACGCAGTGAGCTCAAGGATACCGGCCGAAAATGTTTTTTCCGAGCTCACAGACTTGTTTGGCGAGTTACTTTCCTGCTATGTGACGCCGGTTTGATAGTTGCGTAACACTTCAGCACCAAGGACAGCGCCACAGTGCGTCTTGCTACACCCTGGAACCTCAAATCGCATCTCTCTTTTTTACTTTTAACGGGTTCTGGAGTAAGTAAAGGGATAACCCATGTTGAATGCACAAAGCACAAGCCACTATTGCATGGCTCCCATACGAACGCAAAAGTTCATTGTCACTATAGTAAAAGGCATCCTTCCATCTGGAAAAAATTGTCACTACAGGTGTAACGTTAACTCTCAAATATGAGCTGTTTTTTGTGTTTAGAGTTTATAATGGCTACCACTACTGAGAATGTATCTTTTCATATTCTTGCAGTTCCTACAACTACAACAAGGCGGAGACCACATGTGAGCTGAACGCCGTTGACGCAAACAGTTCGGTCCCGCTTGTGAGCGCCGCTGGATATCAGTACTTCGGTCGGACAGATATTATCCCGTCAGAGGTGTGTAACAAGGCATTACTAGTCAATGAAAACACAGATGAATGGTAGACTGGGTGGCGTTCATTAGGAAAGATACATAACTCAATACCGCATGATTGGCATTTATAACTAAGCCATCATTGTTGCTCACTCGTGTTTTGACATACGCAATGGATTATGTCAAATCTAAACCATTGTCGATAAAAAGCAATGTCTTCTTCGCACGCAAGTGGAGAATCTCTTTGTGTTAAAACACGATTCGTGCGTACGTAACGTTTTACTGTTCCGAATGTAAGATTGTACAATACTGCAGTGCTTTTATCGCCCGCTAGGAGGGGATGCCGGCCTGCGCCAGCCGTCCGTGTCTCCATGACGGTATGTGCCAGGAGCGTCCCGGCTCCGACCCGCCGTACTACTGCTTCTGTGCCGCTACTGACTACCATGGACAACAGTGCCAGGACCAGGGTAAGGACAGGGCCATGGATGCAAATCTAACTCAGTCTGTTACCAGCTAACTCCTTTATTTCCACCCATTTCCACCCCACCCCCATCTACTTGGAGATAACGTTAAGGTTTGAACCTTGTCGCTGAAAGTGCTCATGACACCAAAATATGACTTAAGCTGATTGTAATTGACACAACTAGTATTACGTGGCTAACAGACACATTTACAATAAATATGCACGGTTCTCCTGTTACTTTCGAAATTTTAATGCCCCGCCTTGAAAAAGGCAGTACTGGCAGGCGATTTGCATCTCTACGTTTTATTTCTGCATACTAGTATCTGTACTTTTTCCTGAGCTGAGGGAGCACGACTAATGAGAAACAGTGGTGGGATAGGTCGTGACATGGGTCATTACGTCCTCTGTGCGATTCCACAGATAACAAGCAAAATGCACTTCTAATTGGAAATCAAATTATTAATTCAGACGCGCTAAGCAGTGATGTGTAATGTCGTGTGGCACTGCTGTCAACTCGGGTATCTTTCAGTACTTGGCTGAAACCATACGAGACTTACATACAACGTAGAACAACACTACTAGAAAACTCGCCCACTCCAATCTTGCCCTTAGTGATGAAGTGTTACACAACTATTTCTAAAACCGTCCTTACACCACAGGAAAACAACTCGCCCAATCTGGTCCTGTCCTTAGTGCTGAAGTGTTACACAACCCTTTCTAAAGCCGTCCTTACACAACAGGAAAACAACTCGCCCACTATGGTGCTATGTTTAGTGCTAAAGCCGTGCTTACACAACAGAAAAACAACTCGCCCACTCCTGTCCTTGGTGATGAAGTGTTACACAACTGTTATTACATTGGCGTCACACAGCAGCAAAACAACTTGCGCAACGAGTCTGCGAGCTCAAAAAGAATACATGCGGTCGATTCATTCATGTGGCCGGGGAAGAGCTCTAAGAACATTCAGAAGGAAAATAATTCAGAATTCCAATGGCACTCGTCGCTAGTTGACACGCTGCTGTATACTAAATAAAACCAATCTCACGCTTACATCGGAGGTAAAATTCATGCTGAAATGGAGAATGTTTCGCCACAGCAGATGGCCCCTGCCTAAACTAATCATTCTCTACATGTAAATCTGTAATTGTGGTCTATCCCTACTTTTAGGGACAGGTATGGGAACCCCGTGTACAAATATGGTGGCACCCAGGCTAACTGTTTTGACTTCAGGCTTATGTTTTGCTTGCACAACAACCACGAACAATAGAAACGGCCGATGATATTTTATCTACAGGGAGCTATCAAATGCGTATCTATTTGAAGGCCTTGACATTTTTAGCCCTGCCAGAATATTTTTAGCTCGATTATTTTGTCAAAAAAATTAACAAGATATTACTTCGATATCGTGTCTATTTTGAGATTAGTAGCTGTAATTGCGTATTGTCATGTCAGCAAGGGTATGAATTACTATGAAATACAGCGGTCTTGCAGGTTGAATTAGGCTATTCTATGTCGGTCCTCATATCAAAACCCCCACTGGTTCTATATTTACGTTTCCTTTTAGACATTAACTTGCATGTTTTCGTGCAATGGCACGCATTTACTACAGCCTTGTCTGGCTTTCTATCTTTCTAAGATTTATAATAGATGCTGGCACTTTTCTAATAATGTCGGGATTATGCTAATAAATGGTATCTTTCTTGGTAGTCATCATACAAAACTTTTTATGGACCCATAAAGCAATCTGAAAGTCTGTAAAGTTTTCGCTATGTTAAAAGCACACGTAAACACACACACACACACACACACACACACACACACACACACACACACATACACACTCACTCACAAGATTCATAGTTTTTACATACATAAACACACTTGTTTTTCCCTACATCACGTATTGCACTTTTACGTACTGCAGAAGTACACAAAATTTGTTGTTTTTCTTCCCTTTTCTCTCACAGTCCTTGACGGTGGCTGGGGTGAGTGGGGTTCCTGGGGGTCGTGCTCGGAGTCGTGTGGGGTGGGGTTACGGGTGCGGCAGCGGGACTGTGACGCCCCCACCCCCACCCCCGGGCGGGGCAGGGCCTGTGCCGGCCTGGCGGAGCAGACGGGCCAGTGTAACAAGACCCGCTGTCCGGGTGAGTTGGTAACGGTAGATCTTTAAAGGCATCCAATGTAATTTTCAAGGCGGCAAAACTGGATTTTCAAAGTCAATTTTCTGGCCATTCCTCTAATGTAGTAAGTTGAATCAACCCTATCCTATAGCGTACTGATATCTGTGAGGCAAAGATGCGATGTCACTGACGGAAAACGGTCGCTTGTAGGCTGATTTACATATTCATTGGTGGTACCCAACAATAAAGAGGCGCCCCATGCAGCTTGTTTATAGGCAATCTAAAATTACGCGTCAAGTATGAAATAATGACTAATATGTTGGCTAAGAAATGACGAAAATTTGGCTAAGAAATATCTGTAAATACGTCAACATCTGACAGATTTCCTCATCTTTTGTCAAATATCTTCTTTTTGTTTTGTCGCCTTGAAACTGCATTGGATGCCTTTAGTTTAAGTAAAACTGGTGAATTCTTGAAGAAGGGGTGGATTGCTCATTCTTTGACAAAGACTCTTGTCACCGGGCGCCAATTTGCTTTACCAGCGGTTACGTGTGTCATGACGTCTATTTGATTTTCCAAAAGCTCTAAACAAATGCCAAACGACACTTTCAAACTACGGTCGTGGATAGACGTTCGCGCTACTATGTCTGGATAACCGTCTTTTGTGAGCGGCTGAAACTACAGACTTGACATTTTATTCCCTACCGAGATGAGAGATTGCATAAAGGTGTTAACCTGGCACTTGACATTTAGCAACCATCTCATCCTGATGGAGACAAATACTGCATTACAAACACTTGTAACGAAGAGTCGGTACCAGACACAATGTTGGTAAGCCCATCCATGGTAAGCCCTTGCTTGTCGTGAAGGTTTGAGACATGTATGTTGGCTTTTTATGGTCTCCTTGCTAAGCCCTGCCACAGGTCTGAGCCTGCTTTTCTCCGACGGTTTCGTTTTCGCGAATTCAGGCTGAGTTGAAAGACCCGTTTGCTGAAAAGACTTCCAAGAAGGTAGCTGAAAATAGCTGAACTTGACTATCAACCTGAACTTAGCAGCCGATTCGGCAGCCCATTCTTGCAGCCGATTGAGCCTATTCATGCAGCCCTTAGCCGACAGCCGGTTCGGCTAAAGGAAAGCTAGCTTCTGATCCGTGGGCACCATTATTTAGATTTTTTCGCCATGAATGTAACATCGCTTCATTGATGAATTGGGTTAATACTTTGAAAGAAAACACTATATTAATAATGATTCAGGACCAACAATGAAAGAGACATAACTTGTATGTAGATTTCCTTTTTATGTCATAACAATGCTGTTCATACAAATTTGGCTAAAGGCCATTAATTCTCCTAAGTTTCCAATGTTTACACAAAAATAGATACTCTGTACAAGAATTACAATTCAATTATTACATCAAATCACTAACCCTGCGTGGTGAAATACATTAAATATGATGAATCTGAATATTTATTACAAGTTAAAAGACAATATAAAGAATTACGGTTCCCCTTCATATAAGGCTCACTGTAGTGTATTGAAGCATGTAAAATCTGATGCAAACAGTAGAACGTTACGAATAGCTTTAGCCACTGTTACTTGTTCCTATCATTTAAAAAAACACTTCTAAATGTGAATATTTCATTCTGGTTATTAATAAGCATTGAACAGCTATCCAAGCACTATTCACTGTGGACCAGTACAACAACGGTACAAAAACAGAATGTTTGTCGTGTGTTGTCGGTCTGTCAATCCTGTCAGGCATTGTCGTAGGCTGCATTTTGTAAGACCCACGACGCCCAATTTCAGTTCGTACGACGATCATACAACGACCGTGTCCTGTGACGGGCCTGTCGTCGCGACTTGTCCCACGTTGTTCCCCGACGAACTAGAGCTGACATCACGCTCGTGTACGTCTGCACAGACGTGGATCACGTGAACGCTGCTGACGCTGTCGGTTGATGACGTCACGGCGCTTGGGTCATTATTCCCTGCTGAAGAAGTCCTGTTTCTTTGAGATGTTAGTGCCGTCTTCAAGGTGTCTGTTCCAGACCCGTTGGTGTTCCATCCGACACGCAGAGCTGATCTGTCGCCAAGGATATCGGAATCTGACGACGCGTCAAATTTCGTGTTCTCGATGACGACAACGGACCGCCGTCTGACCCACACAGGGCTCGGCGTTCTACGGCCGTTACCGCCGCTATCTACTGACGACGACACGCTGTAGAACTGACGCCGCCTCTTCTCACTTCCAACGCCTCTTCCGTACGCTACGTCACTGTCGAGACGTTTGAACGGGTCTTCGTGAGTTTGACGCTGTTTCTTCTCCAGAACGCTGAATCCGAAGACGTGCTCGGGTTCGTCCGGGGACGACGTGGCGTCGTTCTGAGGCTGGTGACTTCTCCACGTCGGCGGCTGGAGACGACGGAAAGTCTCGTCGTAGGAGAACATGCTCTTCCAGAGAAAGTTTGGCGACAGGGGGCTGGTCAACTCGGAACGACTGTGAGAGAGAGACGTGTCTGGCGACTGTATCTGGACGGGCGGACACGTGCCCTTGTCGTCGTTGAGATGACGCCGCTGCGTTCTTAAGGCTGCGTCGTCTGAGCGGTTCCAAACGTCTTGGAGCAAGCTTTCGCGGTTTCTGGGAGAGATAAAGGCCCACTCGGCGTCACAGATGTCAGGAGAAGACTCTCTGATGTTTCCTGGTATCGAAACGTCTGCTCTGCAATCAAGCACATTTACATCAGCGGCCTGGCGTCTCGACTGTTGGTCTCTCTTCTTCTGTTCCCATTTCAGCCGCCACTCCTGGACTCCGTCACGGAAGCATGGGTACAGGATGAAGGCTATCCCCAGGATCGGCACGATCGTCGCCACGCACAGGATACCCACGGCAGTCGGGGGTGGACAGCGCGTGTGACTCCGGCTGGGACAGGGGGACCGTCTCGGTCTGGGAGTGCGCCAGCGGCGGTGCAGCGCGCCTGTGATGGGAACGTGCGGTCTGGTGGAGACCGTGGCGAGGGGCACATCTTCCTGTGGACTGACGCCCTGCTCCTCCGGGGTCGGTAGCGCGCGGGCTGACACGGCAAGCCGTCCCGTACCGCTTTCCCACAGGACACAGTCCGTCACGACAAGCAGAACGAGAACCCACCTCATCGTTAAACCACGCAGCGTGCCTGCCATTCCGTCTCTCCGGTACGCTGTGGTCTCCTGTCCGCCGGAAAAGTGCAACTATTCCCCTGACAGACGCACACGGGGTTTTTACCGTTATTTTTAGTGAGCTGTAAATCCAGTTGATTCCTACCGGCGCTCCAGGCGGAGCTTGCTTCCTACAATCCCTTTGTCTGTATAGAAATGCCTTGCTTACAAAGATGGCAATCCTCACGCACGTGCGAGGAAAGCAAATGATACCACCGGGCGTTAATGAAACCCTAAGTGCGCCGCAGTGGTCCATGAGAACAGATCGTCACTCATTAGTGTCGCTAGGGGGATGAGTGACATTTTCAGCGTCACCGCAACAGGCACGTTTTCAACTCTACTCGTCTGGAAAATAAAGTCTTACGACGGATAACGTCTCTCTATCTCTTCCTCATAATTATACTCCAAAGGTAATGCGATGTGCTGTTACTGAATCGTTTTTTCTTCTTTTGTTCTTGAGGGATCAAATTTATTCTCACCACGCGCGATCATATCCAGAAACGTCCGACCTTAGATGCACCAAGCCTTCGAAGTCTGTCTGCCAAGCTGCCGTTCTCAAGAGATTGGCTTCTGGAAGAAAAAAGGAAAAAGAAAATCAATATGCGTCGAAGAGCACTTGTTTTTTCTTCTCTCGCTGCCACTGCATTTCAAAGAATCCGTACTTCGTAGTGCCGTTTTATCTCCACGTATTGAACACAATCCAGATTTGACCCGACAGTGCACAGCTGAATAAGGATAGCCGATAATGAAGAAATCGTTGCTGCTAGCTGAAACCAGACGGCAGAAGAAGGCGGATTGCCCTTCTCTCACCTGGTATAAGAAATGATTGGCATACTGTCAGTACATTCTCTCAGGTCTTTCACGAAGACAAGGACGCTTGGAGAAACTATTACTGAGGACCACAATGGCTTTGGCTAGGCTAATGGAAGTGGGATTCAAGTACCAACCGATAAATGCAGTACTTGCCGTGGAGCGACAAGACGAGATTTTAAACAATCTGCTGTCTAGTACTGAGAATTGCACTGCGTTTTAAAAACGTTTAAATTTGTTTGAGAACGGCGACTATCAGGACTGTATATTGAGTGAATCAGGACTGTACGTGAGAGCGACTGCCAACACGGAATCTCATTTCCTGTCTGTGAATTCAATACGTTTTCTGTACGTGACTCTTCTGTCATCTGATGTTATCATCTTTGAGCGGTGATACTTCAATTGAAACTCAATCGACGCAGAAGACTCGATGACTACCTAATATGCATCACTCAATCTGTAATACACGTTCTTGTCAGGTGCTTGTTTCACGTTCGAATGCTCTCTTGTTTTAAATTCTATCTTAATTTGAAAGCGATTATTACATTTGCTGAGAAGATTATGTTTTCGGTAGCTTTGCTTGTTTGTAGCTAAACAGCGTAGCTCAAGAAGCTATGGATGGATGGATGGATGAATTGTTATGAAATTTGGTATGTGGGTACGCCTTGACACATCGGTGACACAATTAGATTTTGGACCCCCAGTGGTTTTCCTCGGTACTGCAGCGGAACACTCTAGTTTGTGGCACTGTATGAGCACGAGTTTCTTTACTTCGTGCTATGATGTTGACGAATGAAGAACCACAGTAAACGAAGTCGTAGAGCACTGTAATGCAGTGGTGAGGATTAAGCTCAGCTAACAAAAACTATCTCCCCACGTCTGCAAGACTTCCTCATAGGATTGTAAGAAAACCTGGGGATTTCTTAAATGGCGCCGAAGGAAGTGGAAATGGACGAACTGTCACGTTAACGGTATAAATGGCGGGTTGGCAAAGAAAACGATAATCCCTAGAGGCAGCTCTACGTGTCATCTCTGATATTTTACGAAT